CTGGTCTTGCTACTTTATTTTTCTTTGGGCAATTCCTTGAAAGATGCCCCCCTTCTTTACAATCATAACACAACCTCTTGTTGGATGTACACTCATTGGCGTAATGCCCAGACTTTCCACACTTGAAACATGTCACCTCTTCGCCGCATTTTCCAAAGTGTTTCTTCTTGCATTTATCACACCATCTTGCTTCACCTCCTCCTCCAGGCTTCGAGAATTTTCTCTCCTGGTTGGACCTTGAAGATCCTTCAAACTTCCGCTTCTCTCCTGCCTTATCTTTTTCTAGACCCTTTTCCCTTATCTGGGCCTCTACATTCTTAGCTGCCCTAACAGCTGTTTTCAAGGTAGTTGCCATTTTGACCATTGGGCCAAAGTCAGTGGGTAATCCGTTAGCAAACCTATCAATCTTGGAGATTTCAGTAGGCACCAAGTAGGGGAATAGCTTCATCCTCTCGGTGAATGCGGTGGCATACTCATCAACACTCATCTTCCCTTTCTTTAGGTTCTGAAACTCATTGTTTAGGTCTATCAGATCTATCTCTGAGCAGTACTGCATTTTCAACTGTTCCAAGAACTCTTCCCATGACATCCTTAAGGCTTCTCCTCGTGGCATCGTATCTGCCAATAGCTTCCACCAGCTCAAAACTCCAGTTTTTAGTTGTCTTACAGCGAAGACGGTCTTCTGTTTCTCGCTACAGTCACAGCTCTCAAACACCATCTCCATCTCGGAGATCCAATCCATAATCTCAACAGGCTTTGGGCTTCCTGAGAGACTTGGTGGTTTCGCACCCAAGAAATTTTGTACATTCGCCCATCCTTGTCGTTTCTCCTCTCCGGGCCATCCCTTTGATCACCTTGAGTCCCCACTTGACTCACTTGGCGGCTGTAGTTCCTTCCTCCGATTGCTCGGGAATCAGCTCGGGTTGCTCAGTGGGCATAGTTGGTTCGTCCCTATTCAACATCCGCCTCATTTCTTCCCTTTGTTCAGCTAGCATAACCCGAATCATGGCTTGAACTCCAGCCATGGTGACTGGCTCAGGTGCAACTTCTTCTACAACAGGTATTTGCTGAACCACTGGGGGTTGGTTCCTATTCTCATTTGCATTCACGTTTCCGCTACGGGTCCTTGCCATCTTGATCTATACACCGAATAAGGTGAATCTAGACCCTTACATAGGATTGACGTTTAAATCATCCTTATCGCTCCGAAACGTTTATATGCTAGTTCTAATATCGTATTCGTACGTTTAGAATCCTAAACACATAAGGTTTCCAGATCCGGTCGGCAACAGACCATAGATCCGATCAAACTATAGCATAACAAATCATTTAGCACATAAAAGTAATTTAGGCATCATTCCTAAATTAAGCAAGTGCTCACACCTCACAATCATCGCTTAGCATCTAAGTTTAAGTCTAGAAATAAATCCATATTCCTAGTTCGCTTAAACTAATGCTCTGATACCAACTGTGACATCCCCATTTTCACGGCCAGAAAAGACCGATTTTGTTTATGCTTTATAAAAATCAGAGTTCTTCTTTTAATAAAAATGTTGCGGAATTTGTTCCCAGAAAAACATGATAAATACGTTATTAAAACATTTCCGAAGAAACGTACTTTATTCATTTTAAAACGTTTGGGATGTCATCGTCAATACAGGAACATAAGCATAAACAGAACTTACATTTATTTACACTAGTGATCTACATCTCTTTAAATCTCTCAGTGTAAAGTGACTTCGTATCAACACCTGTGATATAAATAAACTGAGTGGGTCAGGTTGGGAAACCTGGTGAGTACATAGGGTTTTCAACCCACAATAATATAATTATTATGTTTAAACAATCAAACAATCAACCCAATTACCCATCCCCATTATCTTCTTTAGTCTTAAGGATCTACCCTAAGAATCAGCTATTCCTCGTTTATTTATTCCTAAGGATCATCCTAAGGAATCGACACGAAGTCCATCATTACCAAGGCTTATAGAATATATCTGGTGAACACGTAGTCCGAAACATCTGTAAACACTTAGTTCAAAAGTAACTAGTGAACACACTTAGTTCAAAATACCTAGTGAACACACTCAGTTCAAAGATACGTAGTGAACACACTCAGTTCAAAAATACCTAATGAGCACCTAGTTCAAAAATACCTACATGTTACGAAACTGCTATCGTTCCACTGGACCGTCTAGTATCGTCCATAGTCGTCATCTATACTCCACTAGATGACTGGATCACTGACAACACTGATGTCTCCCATCGTGTTATCACAAAACAACTATTTCATCTACCCATGTTTTTCCCAACACGTTTTGTAGATATAAAATACGTATACAGTTTAAATCATTTAAAACATGTATAAAAATCTTTTACTCAGCATAGACAGCAAGTATTCAGACAATATGTACACATAGCACGTAATTTATATTAAAATACTTCATATCTAAGTGTAAGATGAAAGAGACTATGCACTCACAACACGTAAATTATATAATAAATACTTCATATCTATGTGTAAGATGAAAGGGACCATGCACTCACCTGAGAAGGTGGTGACTCGGTACTCGGACAGCGCTTCGTTTACTTTAAAATAATTTCCTTCGACGAAACCTAGTATTATCACCAATAGATTTTAGTCTATTATTCGCCGAGACTAATTAATAGTCTAGCTATTATTACTATTATATAAGCGTTAAAAAAATTATATAACCCATAATAATAGCCCAAGTATTTATTATATGTTCTTAATAACGTTAATATAATTAAATAAAAACTATATTAAAAATAGCGTAGGCGTAGCTCACTTACAGCGGGTTTTATAGAAAACCAGGCTTTGCTTGGAGCAGCGTTTCCGAGCCGGAAATCTCTTCTTCTCGGAGCCGTCGAGCACTCCGGGGCTTCCGCCTCGTGCTAGGGAGGTTCCCTAGGCTTTTCGGGGATTTCGGGGCTAGAGAGAGGTTTTAGAGAGAGAGTAAAGAGAAGAAAGAATGGGAAAGGTGTGAAGAAAATGAGGGGGGAGAGGTGGTATTTATAGGGTGAAAATGGCTGAAGTTGGTGCCACATGTCACCATCTAGTGGCAAGACTTGGGGAGAAAGCAATGGCCAAGATTGTGCCACATCAACCATTTTGGCACAGCACACTTCCGACTTCTAAAATTCGTAACTTTCACATACGACCTCCGTTTTTGACGTTCTTTATATCCACGCGTAGGTAAAAATAATATCTACAACTTTCATTTTGACTCCGTCGGCTAATTCTCGACCGATCTTAAATTTAACAGTACGAGGCGTTTAGACTGTTAAATGACCGCGAAGAATCTGTAACTCCTTCATACGGACTCTGTTTTTGTCTGTCTTTTTACCGTTGAGTTCCTATTAATGAGATCTTCAACTCTCATTTAGGTCGCATAAGCCAAAAACCGCTCGAACTAAAATTCGAGTTTCGGGCTGTACACTGCTAAGCCGAATCTTAGAAAAATCATAACTTCTTCATACGAAGTCAGATTTGGGCGTTCTTTTTATGGATTTTCTCGGTTTAACATATTCTACGACTTTCGTTTAGATCACTAAGGCTAAATATCGCTCTGTTGTAAATTCACTTTTTACGCTTCCCGGTGCCGTGCCGGTTCCGTCGCGAAACTTCGACGGGTCATAACTTCTTTGTTATAACTCGGATTTCGGCGTTCTTTATATGTACGGAAATCTTGTGACATATACTACAACTTGGTTCAAATTATTTATTCTAAATAATATTTTGTCAAAAAGTCATTTTCGACCCCTATTATCTCTAAATTGACTAGCTCGGATCTACGGGCGTTACAGAAGCATTTCAGGGTTATCAAGTCTCGAGACTCTAGACATGTCTTTCAGTGCTTATAACTGGAACCCTAAAATGGGTTCGTGTCATCAAAATGCAACATTTGATGAGCTGCTATCGTTGGATCGCCTTTCGGTTTTAAAAATAAGGCTTGACTCGGTTGAGTGTCCTGCATCTGCATCTTCATGGATCAAGAAATTAAGAAAGTTTGATATTCAAATCAATCCAAACGACTCGAATTATGATGCTCAATCCAATGAAAAAAGATTGGTTCTCAGAGGAGTCGATCTCCTTCAAGAACACCTTCAAAGTCTTCTACACAACACGACTTCCCTCAGCTTGTTAACATGTGAAGGCATGGCCCAAAGACATTGGCTTAGCTTATCCTCGCTGATGTCTCTCACAATATCCAATTGTAGTGGTATAAGAATTTTGATAAGTCAAGAAAAAAGTTCACATGCAATGTTCCCAAATCTACAACACTTGGTTCTCGATCATTTGAAAATTTTTGAGACTATTGTTGAAGGGATACTTTCTAGAGGGATCTGCCTTAGCAATTTGAAGACAATTCAAGTTCTTGATTTCCTGAAGCTAAAAGGAACCGTTTTGTATGCAATGCTTAGGCATGTTAAAAAGCTTGAGGAGATTAAGGTGAGTGGTTGTGAGAATATGTGTAGGGTTATTGAATTAGGGGGACAAAAGAAGAAAAATCTTCCGGTTTTGAGGGTGATTGAGGTAAAGAACATGGTCAAATTAAGAACAATATGTGATGGGATGTGGGTTTGTCCAGTGTTGCAGCAGATTGAGGTTTCTCATTGCTTTGAGTTGAAGAAACTTCCTATTTCGGTTGGGGATTCGTGTAGTTTGAAAGAGATTAGAGGTGATGTTAAGTGGTGGAATAATTTGATATGGGATAATCATGATGATAAGAGCTTCTTTCTGAAACACTTTCAAGCCTACCCTAGGGAGGACTGCTTGAAAAGGCAAAAATACAAGTAAGAACATCATGTTTTATATAAGTTGTGGTATACATAAGGTTTGTATTTTTTATTTTTTTGGGTACCAATTTACCCTCTCCAATTCCAAAGAACAATTTTAACAATATTCACCATTGTTTAATAAATAGAATCATAAATATCAAGCAAGAAAGAATTGAGTAGAATATGGCAAATGGAAAATGGCAAAAGGCAAAGCAAGACATTCTGTTTCCAGGTAAGTGCTAATAAAAGCACAGCCAGCATAGACGAATTTGTTGAATCATAGGAAAAGGAATGAGACGCTAAAAGTAGCATATGTTTATTAATTTCCCAAGTACAAATCGATGTCATCATTTTCCATAAGTTAACAACCAAAGAACATATGGACTATTGAAATGGAAATTTCAACACCACTTTCCACTAGAAATTGACACCCATGTTCCTTGGAAATTCCAATAAAATAATAGGTGGGTCTAATCATCTCCACCCCTACTATCATAAATATTAATTTATATTATGAAATTAATACTTGTTGTATTTAAATACTAATAAAGTTAAAAGGTAAGGGTGGTGTGGAGAACTAGACCAAAGTGGGAAGTATTTTGTAATGGCATTATTGTTTAAAGTATATAATCACACCATACCTTGAAGCAATGAGGATATTTGTTTCATGTCGTCATAATCTATCATGTGTGTATCTAACTCTATTAAATTGGCCTGAATTTTAGGCCAATCACATTTCATGAAGACCAAGACATTCAGACTCCACAATTTCCATAACCTTCAATTTATGTAAAGATGTAACATATATGGTTCGCCTTTTATATCTTGTATCTGATTTATGTAAATACACAGTATTATATGAAAATTGGTTGATGTGCGACTTAAAATAGTTTTTTTCCTGAGTATAAAATTGACTTGTTGGCTCATGATTTCCATGACATTTAACCCAATTTTAGATGTATTTGAACAACCATGTATGCGGGTTCTTTAGTTGACATTTCAAGTTGAAATCCTTATGCTTCACGAAACAAAGTTGTTAATGATGTGTTTATATCTCTCTTAATTTCCTCAAAATGTCAAACTTTGACCACTTTATATTTGAGATGATGATTTGAAGGCAAAGCCATCCGTCCATTATTAACTTCACACGGTTTAATTCTCAAGTATAGTTAGAATTCTTTTTCTTTATGCATAAACTCAAATGTTATGCAAACTATTAAATGAGTTGGACTTACTCTAACAACTCAAGAAGATGCATCTTATACTTGTTTTTCTTATATGATCTATCAACATCATGTGTGGAAACACATGGAATAACTCTTAACGTTTGATGAATGAAGAATAACTCTTCTGGCTCATTAGATATATCATTTGCATGATAATAAAAATATAGCTCCTTCTTGCAAAAAACGACAAAAGAACTTGAATTTTAGTGTTACATGCTTTCTTTTTAATTTTATTTTCTCTCTTGCATAATGTATGGTTTTTAGTAGATACGTTATTTGGAACTTTCTCTCGGTACTGATAGAATATCATGCGCATTCATTTTTTTTTCTTGAAAAATTTGCCACCAAACAAACTTCATTACCAAACGGTCATATTACATATGGATGGAATTCCAAAATGCATGTGTTATGTTTTTCACATACCACTTTTAACATCCATATTATTCTATGTAAGGTTATGTCCTTGGTTAGTATAGACACAAATTAGGTTCTATCTTCATACAGATTAAATTCTTTACACATTAATCCTCTTTACATATTAATCATATTAAGTAAAAAAAAAAACAAAGACCATCTTAGTCTTTAATGACATCAAATTCTAAGATCAATTTCAAAAGAAGCATAGTTTCTTGCAAATCACAAATCAAATGATTTAACTCATGTTAACATAGATAGGGAGATTGTTAAATTACTTGGGCTATGTTTGTTATCCACACCTAACTTATAATTTTTTTTTTCTAAATTTTCTAGATTGTCATTTTAGCAAGTCAACAAGTTGAGTTATTTAAAAATTTACCCACGCTAACAATTCAACAAGCCCATGATTTTTTTTTTTTAATTTTTTATAATTCCATCAAATATTTTCTTTATTAATTATAAAAAACGCATCCCCTAACTTTTTCATAAACAACACATATTTTAGCTTCATTGTATTTTGTTAGCTTTGTTGTAGTCAATGCATTCAATACATTTAACCATAACTAGCAACGTATTGAAATTTAATCTACTTTCATGTTTATTTATTTTAATTATACTTGAAACATTAACTAATTATAAACATTTTTAAGAGTTGTAAACAATAATATATATATATATATATATATATATATATATATATATATATATATATATATATATATATATATATATATATAGGCTCACTGTAAAGGTCTAGTGTGATATTCTAGTGATATGTCATGCACAAATTAAATTTGCTTTTTATATGTTGAATGTTTGATAATTAAACTTGATAGATGTGGCTTTATCAAAGCCATGTGTTTAAAGCAACCATTGTTTAGATGAGATATTGATCTAGTCATGTGTCTAGAGCAACCATTTATATTTTGGGATCCAAGTAATCGAAGATAATATTAATAATGTTAAGTTTGCAAGAAACGTTATCTGAAGAATTTAGCTTGGCTGTAATATTTTTTAGTGAAATGTTATCTTTTCAAACTTTGTTGATGCTAGTATTTAGTTGGATGTTTATTCTTAATTTAATGGCATGTATAATGTATGTCATTTACATTTAGGCATTTAGCTAATTTATTAGGTAATTTTTATCAAACATTATTTTTTATCCTTTATTTCTTGAATTGTCATCTAATAGCTAATTGTTTAGCTATTAATTAGTTTTGTCAAACATAGTCATACACATTACTAGATGCTCCTCCTTTGATACATCATTATTATTAGGATTAAAACAACAAATTAATCAAAAAGAAATTATATTAAGAAAATATGGATAGAAAAACTATATGTTGAAACTTTATATATTAGGAAGAAACACATGAATCATTTTATAAATTACTGGTTGAAAGGTTGAAATACCAACTTTAGATAAAGATAATATAAAAAATGAAGTTCGAGTAAGAAACAAAATGAATATAAATCAAAACGATCAATTTTAATTTTTAAGTGCATGCTAGAATAGTTGGTTAGATCCACCTAGAGGTGCAGAACAGGTTCTGATAAGACACAAAAAAAAAAAAAAAAAAAAAAAAAAAACACCATTTTTACTAGAACCGGTTAGGTTAAAACCGAACCACCAATTAGGAATAGGTTTTTATAAGAAACAAATAAAAAATTTCTCGGTTTTTTTTAAAATCAGAAAAACGAATCGAACCGTTTTTAACTAAAAAAACCGATTTTTAATGCAATTTCATTTTAGAAAAATCGATTATAACCGATAATGATCTAGAAAATACCAATTTATTTAAAAAATAAAAACAGATTAAAACCAATCCACGTGTTAGATTTTTTGACATCATGTAACTTTACCAAGCCTAGCTAAAATGAATCAAAGAATTAAATCTCAAGTATTCGACCAATTAGTAGTCAACACATTCATGGAAGTGTCATTTTCCTATTTAGGAGATGTGTTTACGTCGCCCAGAAATAGAAAAATAAATATTACGTATTTTAAGTTTTAAATATTTGGATGGTAAATAACTTTAAAGCCAAACCATCACCAAACTACCCCCTCCTTTTTATTTTTCTACTCTACAAAGTACAAACCTTGAATCAAATAACATATTTTAAGATACATATTTTAAATGATCTTTTTCATTTACATAAACTTCTATCTAATATTAATTAGATGAAAGCATAGTTTAACTACAGCAACTATAAGGCTTGTACATTTCTAAATCCAGTATTCTATAAAACTTAAAACCTTTTTTAATTTTGCACTTCTGAGGATAAATTTTATGTAAGTATAAAATATATTCTTTAAACCATAAAAAACATACATAATTATTTGAAATAATTTTTTCCAGTTTAACCGCTAAGAGTTTATTTTAATTTTCAGAAAAACCACTACATAAAATATTAGATCCTGTACAATTTGAATAACTCTGATTTGTTTCTAAAAAAAACCCATCTTTAACAAAAAAAAAAATGTTCCGAACTTCCGATTGTTGACTGATACTAAGTTAGTGTTATAAATGTTTTGTGAATGTTGATAAGGGATATACACTTTAAAAAAAACTTAAAATATATATTATAATAAAAAGAAGGAAAAAAAACACTAAAGCTTAAGCAAGGTAAAGGTTAGGTAGAAGATGGGAAAACCTCAACAACATTGAATATAGGAATAAAGCATCCCCTTCAATTTGCAAACCATCTTCTCCCATATCTACCCAAAACATAGTATTACCAAAATCGTATCACGTTAAACCATATCAGAAGAAGGTTCCAATTTTGAGGCCTTAATTTTACGTATATATATATTTAGGGTTGGGTTTCTTGTTTTAGTGTGTTTGATAAACAACAAAATGCAGTTACATATATCTCCAAGTTTGCGACACGTTACACTGTTGCCAGGGAAAGGTGTAAGAGAGTTTATAAAAGTTAAGGTTGGGTCTCGAAGGTTGTCTTACAAGATGTTGTTTTATTCGCTTTTGTTGTTCATATTTCTTCTCAGATTCATCTATGTGTTAAGTACAGTTGACACCATTGATGATGAAACCAAATGTTCCAATATTGGTATGTATATGCATATTTTAATATGTTATTACTTATTTATTACTTCTTAGATATTAATTGTTTGATTTCTTGATTATTTGGTATGTAGGTTGTAAGGGAGAAAAACTAGCATCGGGTGTTTTAAGGGGGAGAAGCCTTCGATTGAATCCAGCTGTAATATACCAAATATCCAATGTTATTTATTTGAATTCGGAGAATTTTGAGACTAAAATGTTTTTTTTTTTTTTTAATCTGAGAAGGTACCAGAAGTAATATATGAAATCTTGGAGGACCGGTCTAGCGAAGATGAGATAGTGGGAGGGCCTGATATTCCTCAGACATTGGAAGAATTTGTTAATAGTATGAAAGGTAGCAAAAGACTAGATGCAAAGACATTTGCCATCAAGCTTAAGTCCATGGTATCCTCCCAATTTCTCTTCTATAACACACACACAAATACACAATATACATAATTAATTTGGTTAGCTAAATTGATAAATAAATAAAAAATCACTGACTAAACGATAAAAAATAGTTCACTAATTAAAATGTTATGTGTGTGTATTTTTTTTTTTTTTCTTTTGGATTTTGTTGATATCAAAACTAGTTAACTGAAGAATATAAGTTTGTTTTATAAATAGCATAAAGAAAATGTAAGATCATCATTAACATGTAACACTATTTTTTCATCAAAATGGTGTGATAATTTATATAAAAAAAATATTTTATTTTTAACTATGTACACAATTTTTTAGACAAAAAAATTCCAAGTATATATAAATTCTTTTATTTGTAACTTAAATAGATTTTCAAAAGACATTCCTTATTTTCATACTTTTTACGAATTTGTCTTATATTTTATTTTTAAAATACTTCTATTATTACTAATTATAGCCAAATAAATTATCAATCCATATGATCAATTAATATCATTTTTATATACAACATAACATTAAAAAATATTTCATTTATACTATAACTATAATTAAATTAACTGAAAATACATAAACTCAAATTTAAAAGATTAAAATTATACACATGAAAATTTGACACCATGTTCAATGTAACATTAATAAAATAACATAAAAGTCAGATTTACTGTTGGGTTGAAAATAATTTAAAGTTTTAATCGTTCCAAAATAGTTAAAGTTAACTGGTTTTTATGCTTTTCTAGGTGACACTTCTTGAAAAGAGGACTAGAACAGCCAAAATCCAAGAATACCTCTACAGACACGTGGCATCCAGTAGCATACCCAAACAACTCCACTGCCTCTCCCTCCGCCTAGCCCACGAACACGCCACCAATGCAAACTCCCGCCTCCAGCTCCCTTTACCGGAGCTAGTCCCCACCCTCGTCAACAACTCCTACTTCCACTTCGTCCTTGCCTCCGACAACATCCTCGCCGCCTCCGTCGTAGCAACGTCTCTCGTTTACAACTCTTTACGCCCTGAAACGGTGGTCCTTCACATAATCACCGACAGAAAGACGTTCGCTCCGATGCAGGCGTGGTTCTCCTTGCATCCTTTATCTCCGGCGGTGATTGAAGTCAAGGCGTTGCATCATTTCGATTGGTTCGCAAAAGGAAAGGTTCCGGTTTTGGAGGCCATGGAGAAGGATCAAAAAATTAGAGCTCAGTTTAGAGGCGGCTCGTCCGCCATTGTTGCTAATAACACCGAGAAACCTTATGTCATCGCCGCAAAGTTGCAAGCTATGAGCCCTAAGTACAATTCCGTCATGAATCACGTTCGGATTTATCTCCCACAGGTGAATTTTAAGAAATTCGTGTAAAATCGAGTTTAATCGATCGACGCTCATCGGATCTGGTTTTGTAGATGTTTCCGAGTCTAAACAAGGTGGTGTTCCTAGACGACGACCTGGTGGTTCAGTCAGATCTATCGCCGTTATTTGAGATTGAGATGAATGGAAAAGTGAACGGAGCGGTTGAAACATGTCACGGCGGCGATAAGTTCGTGATGTCGAAGCGATTCAAAAGCTACCTAAATTTTTCTCATCCATTAATATCGAAGAATTTTGACGCAAACGAATGTGCTTGGGCCTATGGGATGAACATTTTCGATCTGGAGGCTTGGAGAAAGACGAACATAAGCGAGAACTACCATTACTGGCTCGAAGAGGTGAGTGATTCAACACAGATCATTAACACACACACACACAAACAACATCTAAGTATCTAATTTTTTATATTTCGAATGCAGAATTTGAAATCGGATCTAAGTTTATGGCAGCTAGGAACGTTACCTCCAGGATTGATCGCGTTTCATGGACATGTGCAAGTTATCGATCCTTTCTGGCATATGTTGGGCCTCGGCTACCAGGAGAATTCAACCATGGCAGATGTTGAACGTGCTGCTGTTGTTCATTTTAATGGCAGAGCGAAACCTTGGTTAGATATAGCGTTTCCACAGCTTCGTAAACTATGGACTAAATATGTCGACTTCTCAGATAAGTTCATCAAGTCCTGCCACATTAGACCATAGGCCACAACAATCGCAATACTTCATGCGCTTTTTTTTGTATTATATATATACACATAAGGCTTTGTATATTTGGTTCACGATTTAAAGGAAACATACGGATTTTTTTTTCAAGGGGCATTTCATCAAACAAACAGTTAGAGTGCAAGTTGTGAACACAAATCACACACATAAACGGTTAAATTATAATAATAGTGTGTTTGATCGTAGTTATACAAACGGAAACCTAATACAGAGTCATAGATCAATGACAACCTGCCTGAACATAAATGCAAAGATCGCCGGAATTAGGCCACCGGAGGGTGGAGGACATGATCTTGTGAGGTGTCAACAGCAGCAGGCGGCATGAATTGCCACATCGCCATGCCTGGGTAACTAATCATCGGAACCAACTTATTGCCTCCATATGCAGCAGCAGGGATTGCAGGTGGATGATGAGCCATTGGCATGAAGCTTGGTTGTGCGTTCATGGTGTTTACCTGTTGCTCAAGCTTCTCTTTCTCAATCTTCAACCTCTGCTTCTCATCACGAAGCTCGTTCTTTTCAGTCTACAACCAAACACCAATTCAAAAAAAAAAAAAAAAATGAAATCACATTATCAAAACACACAGATTATTGAATATATATTTTAAAAATAGAAAAAGATTAAATAAATACCTTGAGCTCTTTGATTTTCTCTTGAAGATCAGAACTAGAATCTTTCAACTTCTGTGCTTCTTTTCGTAATTGAGTGACTGTTCGAACAGCATCAACCAAAATTGCAGCTTTATCTATTTTAGGTGGTCTTCCGGGTTCCAGAATTGAGGCCAATTCAAGAAACCTAAAATAGTAAAATGTAAGTGATAATTGATGAGAGGACTAAAGAGGACACGTGGCAGAAAAAATAAATTGTACTTGTCATTTAGTTTATCTCTTCTCAATTTCTCTCGACATGCTTTGCTACTTGTACCACTGCAAGATTCAGATCTTCCCCTATCAAAGTAACAAATTTTGTTTATAAATCTAACAGAAAAAAATGAAGAACACATCTTTTCACAGCATTCGTGTATACGAACTTAAAGAAGGAAGAAATAATTACCGTTTTTTGGATCTGGAGTCATTATGGCTGTCTGAATCCACAGTTGAGCCATCAAGATCCAAACTAGAAGCAAATTTCAGCAAACAATATGAATTAATGGAGGAAACAGTAAAATAGTTGAGAAACATCAATCAAAGTCCTTTCATCTCCTATAAATTGCATCTAATGTGAACAGAAGAAGCCAAATTAGTGAAAATAAGATTTGGTCAACGCCATTAAAGCTCTACCACCAACCACTCCAAGGTACTGATACGATTGTCAATGTTTTCCACCACAATTTCATGAATCTATATAAAGCATCTGTTGGACCAAAATTAGGGCAACAACAGAGGAGACCTAGAATTCTGCTAAAGGAAGAGAAAAGGCATAAACGATGCCCTAGATACGTTGTGTGATTAAGCTGTAACTGTGTAACATCTACTAACACCCCCAATTTCGGTAAATCATTCTCTAGTTCTCCGTACTTGCTCTATGGAACTACTTTGATTCCTCCATATCATACATCAAAACATGAAAGGTTTTTACAGCTCATACATTTGATCGAGCAATCAATGTTTCTGATATAATTAGGTCGATTTTGATGATAAGTGCATTAAACAAAAGAAGAGAAGAGAGTACCTAGGGTTTGATGAGGAACCGTTTAAGGTCGCTTGAATTGACCACTGAATCCAGAAACAGGAACGGTGTAATTAGCATCAGGTACAGCAATATCATCAATCAATCCGTATTTGTAGATCCAATTGGTGTTTTCCGGGGAAACCATTGCCGGAATATAAACAAATTGAAGATTTCCCGATGGAGGTTATGGTGGAAAGGAAGAACACAAATGGGGTTTGGGTTATTGTGTAGAGATGGGAGAGAGAAAATGGAGATTTGAAAGGGAATAATTGGTTGATTGGTTGTGTTGCTGTGTTGGGGTTCTTTTAGATTTTATTTTTTTATTCGTCCACTAGAAAGTTTTAGTTGGTATGGTATACAGCGATAGGATTAAGGAGAGATTATGCTTTTTGCATAATTTCATTCTTGTTGCTATACTTGGAATACATGATTCTTTTTGTCTAGATTTAATCGTTTTCGAAAACAATCTGAAATAAGAACAAAATTCTCATCGTTTTAAACAAGAGATTCACATGATTTGATTCCACGCTTGCTCTTGAAGCAAATAATATGTGGACTTCATGATCTAAGATTCATAGTACTTTACAATATTAAGTTTAATTAGCAAAGCTATTTTGGATCTCCCAAAGCTCTTAACCTAGGATTCCTGTGATCTGCTTCGTCTTGAGAAACGCCTATGTATTTGTTTTTTAGAATCATAACAACAATATGTGTTTATGGAAGGATGTGTTCTTTTTTTACCTTATCGATACTGAACAAATAGCTCCTAGTTTTGTCAGATAGTTAGTCCCAATCTTTACTTAAGGCTTGGATTGCTATCAGTTAATAACCACAAATGAAATCAAATTAATCTCTCTCTCTCTCTCTGACTCTCTTCTCTCTCTTTCTTACTCTCTCTCTCCCCCCATGGATGCCATAACTTCTGCTGTCATTGAAGGTGCCAAATCAATCTTTAAGTTAAGTCTTTCAGGAATCAAGACCCTTTCCAAATATGAAGAAAACATATGTGAACTCCAGGAAGAGATTTCATACCTAAGGAACAAAAAGATTTTGATTGAAGAAGAAGTCTCCATAGCCATAATGGATGGAAAAACTCCAAAACAGCAAGTAACAGAATGGTTAAGGAAGGTTTCTCGAGCTGAAGATGCTGTAAGGCCACTGCTACAGATGCTACAGATGCCTGATCAACATATTGATGGCAAGAGCTTCAAGATGCTTCAACAATACCAGCAGGCATGGAGAGTAGCAAACAAACTCGAGCATGTGAAAGAGCTCAATTCTACTTATTTTGAAACCGTTTCCCCTGAAAAAAGCTCTCCAATAAAAGCTATGGAGGAAATGCAAGTCTCATCTCTCGTTGGGCAGCAGGCAACTTCAGATATGATGAAGCTTCTTGAAATCTTGAAAAGTGATGACAACAAAAGGATTGGTGTGTGGGGGAAAGGTGGCATAGGGAAGACAACTTCAGTCAAGAACTTGATCAATCACTTGTGCAATTCCTCTCCAAATTTTTTTAATATCGTGATCTGGGTTCAAGTCTCGAGGGACTTGAATTTGAGCATGATTCAGACTCAGATTGCCAAGAGACTTCATTTAAAAGTGGAAGCAGGAGACACCACTCACAGTTTAGCCAACAGAATTCTTCGAAGACTGAAGATGAGGGTGGAAGCTACCAGAAGGAAGATCCTTTTAGTCCTTGATGATGTCTGGGAAAAGATCGACTTAGATGGTGTGGGTATTCCTTCAAGGGATTCCTGCTGTAAGATCCTCTTAACCACTCGATCTTTCGATGTCTGTAGGGGCATGTCTGTTGATGTTTCTTTTCAGTTAAATCTCATGAGTGAAGATGATGCTTGGAATCTTTTCGTTCAAAGTGTTGGATCTGTACTTTATCTAGATGGGATACAATCTCCCGCAAGGAAGATCGTGGCAAGCTGTCGTGGACTCCCATTGGCTATAAAGACTCTTGGAAAATCCCTGAGGGACACACCACAGACTGCCATCTGGCGAAACACGTATCTGAGGTGGCGATGCTCATCACCCTTGTTCAAGAACATTGAAAAAGAAGTATTTAGGCCTTTAGCAGCGAGTTACCATTTTTTACCAAGTAAGATACTCCAACAATGCTTTCTGTTTTGCTCTTTATACCCTGCAAGCTTCTCCATAAATGTTGTTGAGCTTATCCAGTGTTGGGTGTCTGATGGGTTAATACATGAGAATCAAACTGTTGAAGAAGCATTTAATTGTGGGGTTGCTTTGATTGAACGCCTCAAGGATTCCTGCTTACTTGATCAGGATGGAGGACAAGGAACTGTGAAGATGCATGATGTTTTTCGTGATTTGGCTATTCTTTTATCTCAGAATGAAGAGTTGTTTGGGTTTCATTGTCAATCAAGTCTTCCATTTAACCAGATGCCAAAAGAATCTTCCAGAAGGGTATCTTTAATCGGATGCAAAATCTATAGGTTGCAAGAGTATCCTGTATATTCCAATATTACTGTTTTGTTTCTCCAAGGTAACCCTATAAAGATCATCCCGGATGACTACTTTCTCAATCTCAAGTCTCTAAGGGTACTGAATTTAAGCAAAACCGAAATTACATCTTTGCCCTCATCTTTTCTTTGCTTAGTCGAATTACGTTCTCTTTATCTCAGAGGCTGTTTTTCTTTAACGAAACTACCTTCTCTTGAACCTCTTTGTAAACTCCTTATTCTTGACCTTTCTAGCACCCCAATACGAGAGCTTCCGGAAGGTTTAGGAAGTTTATGTCGTTTGAGGGAATTAAACCTCTCATACACTCGTTTGTTGAAGAAGATTGCTTCCGGAAGCATTTCAAGGTTATCAAGTCTCGAGACTCTAGACATGTCTTTCAGTGCTTATAACTGGAACCCTAAAATGGGTTCGTGTCATCAAAATGCAACATTTGATGAGTTGCTATCGTTGGAGCACCTTTCGGTTTTAAAAATAAGGCTCGACTCGGTTGAGTATCTTGCATCTGCATCTTCATGGATCAAGAAATTAAGAAAGTTTGATATTCAAATCAGTCCAAACGACTCGAGTTATGATGCTCAATCCAATGAAAAAAGATTGGTTCTCAGAGGAGTCGATCTCCTTCAAGAACACCTTCAAAGTCTTCTACACAACACGACTTCCCTCAGCTTGTTAACATGTGAAGGCATGGCCCAAAGACACTGGCTTAGCTTATCCTCACTGATGTCACTCACAATATCCAATTGCAGTGGTATAAGAATTTTGATAAGTCAAGAAAAAAGTTCACATGCAATGTTCCCAAATCTACAACACTTGGTTCTCGATCATTTGAAAAATTTGGAGACTATTGTTGAAGGGATACTTTCTAGAGGGATCTGCCTTAGCAATTTGAAGACAATTCAAGTTCTTGATTGCCCGAAGCTAAAAGGAACCGTTTCTTATGCAATGCTTAGACATGTTAAAAAGCTTGAGGAAATTAAGGTGAGTGGTTGTGAGAATATGTGTAGGGTTATTGAATCAGGGGGACAAAAGAAGAAAAATCTTCCAGTTTTGAGGGTGATTGAGGTAAAGAACATGGTGAAATTAAGAACAATATGTGATGGGATGTGGGTTTGTCCAGTGTTGCAGCAGATTGAGGTTTCTCATTGCTTTGAGTTGAAGAAACTTCCTATTTCGGTTGGGGATTCGTGTAGTTTGAAAGAGATTAGAGGTGATGTTAAGTGGTGGAATAATTTGATATGGGAGAATCATGATGATAAGAGCTTCTTTCTGAAACACTTTCAAGCCTACCCTAGGGAGGACTGCTTGAAAAGGCAAAAATACAAGTAAGAACATCATGTTTTATGGATAAGTTGTGGTATACATAAGGTTATTATTTTTTATTTTTTGGGGTACCAATTTACCCTCTCCCATTCCAAAGATCAATTTTAACTATATTCACCATTGTTTAATAAATAGAATCATAAATCAAGCAAGAAAGAATTGAGTAGAATATGGCAAAAGGCAAAGCAAGACATTCTATTTCCAGGCAAGTGCTAATAAAAGCACAGCCAACGTAGACGAATTTGTTGAATCATAGGAAAAGGAATGAGACGCTAAAAGTAGCATATGTTTATTAATTTCCCAAGTACAAATCGATGACATCATTTTCCATAAGTTTATAACTAAAGAACATATGGACTATTGAAATGGAAATTTCAACACCATTTTCCACTAGAAATTGACACCCATGTTCCTTGGAAATTCCAATAAAAGAATAGGTGGGTCTAATCATCTCCACCCCTACTATCATAATATTATATTATGAAACTAATACTTGTTATATTTAAATACTATTAAAGTTAAAAGTTAAGGGTGGTATGGAGAATTAGACCAAAGTGGGAAGTATTTAGTAATGGCATTATTGTTTAAAGTATATAATCACACCATACCTTGAAGCAATGAGGATATTTGTTTCATGTTGTTGTAATCTATCGTGTGTGTATCTAACTCTATTAAATTGACCTGAATTTTAGGCCAATCACATTTCATGAAGACCAAGACATTCAGACTCCACAATTTCCATAAGATTCAATTTATGTAAAGATGTAACATATATGGTTCGCCTTTTATATCTTGTACCTGATTTATGTAAATACACAATATTATATGAAAAATTAGTTGATGTGTGACTTAAAATATTTTTTTTCCTCAGTATAAAATTTGACTTGTTGGCTCATGATTCTCCATGACATTTAACCTAATTTTAGATGTATTTGAACAACCATATATGCGGCTTCTTTACTTGACATTTCAAGTTGAAATCCTTATGCTTCACGAAAAAAGTTGTTAATGATGTGTTTATATCTCTCTTAATTTCCTCAAAATGTCAAACTTTGACCACCTTATATTTGAGATGATGATTTCAAGGCAAAGCCATTCATCCATTATTAACTTCACACAGTTTAATTCTCAAGTATAGTTAGAATTCTTTTTCTTTATGCATAAACTCAAATGTTATGCAAACTATCAAATGAGTTGGACTTACTCTAACAACTCAAGAAGATGCATCTTATATTTGTTTTTCTTATATGATCTATCAACATCATGTGTGGAAACACATGGAATAACTCTTAACTTTTGATGAATGAAGAATAACTCTTCTGGCTCATTAGATATATCATTTGCATGATAATAAAAATATAGCCCCTTCTTGCAAAAAACGACAAAAGAACTTGAATCACGTTCGGATTTATCTCCCACAGGTGAATTTTAAGGAATTCGTGTAAAATCGAGTTTAATCGATCGACGCTCATCGGATCTGGTTTTGTAGATGTTTCCGAGTCTAAACAAGGTGGTGTTCCTAGACGACGACCTGGTGGTTCAGTCAGATCTATCGCCGTTATTTGAGATTGAGATGAATGGAAAAGTGAACGGAGCGGTTGAAACATGTCACGGCGGCGATAAGTTCGTGATGTCGAAGCGATTCAAAAGCTACCTAAATTTTTCTCATCCATTAATATCGAAGAATTTTGACGCAAACGAATGTGCTTGGGCCTATGGGATGAACATTTTCGATCTGGAGGCTTGGAGAAAGACGAACATAAGCGAGAACTACCATTACTGGCTCGAAGAGGTGAGTGATTCAACACAGATCATTAACACACACACACACAAACAACATCTAAGTATCTAATTTTTTATATTTCGAATGCAGAATTTGAAATCGGATCTAAGTTTATGGCAGCTAGGAACGTTACCTCCAGGATTGATCGCGTTTCATGGACATGTGCAAGTTATCGATCCTTTCTGGCATATGTTGGGCCTCGGCTACCAGGAGAATTCAACCATGGCAGATGTTGAACGTGCTGCTGTTGTTCATTTTAATGGCAGAGCGAAACCTTGGTTAGATATAGCGTTTCCACAGCTTCGTAAACTATGGACTAAATATGTCGACTTCTCAGATAAGTTCATCAAGTCCTGCCACATTAGACCATAGGCCACAACAATCGCAATACTTCATGCGCTTTTTTTTGTATTATATATATACACATAAGGCTTTGTATATTTGGTTCACGATTTAAAGGAAACATACGGATTTTTTTTTCAAGGGGCATTTCATCAAACAAACAGTTAGAGTGCAAGTTGTGAACACAAATCACACACATAAACGGTTAAATTATAATAATAGTGTGTTTGATCGTAGTTATACAAACGGAAACCTAATACAGAGTCATAGATCAATGACAACCTGCCTGAACATAAATGCAAAGATCGCCGGAATTAGGCCACCGGAGGGTGGAGGACATGATCTTGTGAGGTGTCAACAGCAGCAGGCGGCATGAATTGCCACATCGCCATGCCTGGGTAACTAATCATCGGAACCAACTTATTGCCTCCATATGCAGCAGCAGGGATTGCAGGTGGATGATGAGCCATTGGCATGAAGCTTGGTTGTGCGTTCATGGTGTTTACCTGTTGCTCAAGCTTCTCTTTCTCAATCTTCAACCTCTGCTTCTCATCACGAAGCTCGTTCTTTTCAGTCTACAACCAAACACCAATTCAAAAAAAAAAAAAAAAATGAAATCACATTATCAAAACACACAGATTATTGAATATATATTTTAAAAATAGAAAAAGATTAAATAAATACCTTGAGCTCTTTGATTTTCTCTTGAAGATCAGAACTAGAATCTTTCAACTTCTGTGCTTCTTTTCGTAATTGAGTGACTGTTCGAACAGCATCAACCAAAATTGCAGCTTTATCTATTTTAGGTGGTCTTCCGGGTTCCAGAATTGAGGCCAATTCAAGAAACCTAAAATAGTAAAATGTAAGTGATAATTGATGAGAGGACTAAAGAGGACACGTGGCAGAAAAAATAAATTGTACTTGTCATTTAGTTTATCTCTTCTCAATTTCTCTCGACATGCTTTGCTACTTGTACCACTGCAAGATTCAGATCTTCCCCTATCAAAGTAACAAATTTTGTTTATAAATCTAACAGAAAAAAATGAAGAACACATCTTTTCACAGCATTCGTGTATACGAACTTAAAGAAGGAAGAAATAATTACCGTTTTTTGGATCTGGAGTCATTATGGCTGTCTGAATCCACAGTTGAGCCATCAAGATCCAAACTAGAAGCAAATTTCAGCAAACAATATGAATTAATGGAGGAAACAGTAAAATAGTTGAGAAACATCAATCAAAGTCCTTTCATCTCCTATAAATTGCATCTAATGTGAACAGAAGAAGCCAAATTAGTGAAAATAAGATTTGGTCAACGCCATTAAAGCTCTACCACCAACCACTCCAAGGTACTGATACGATTGTCAATGTTTTCCACCACAATTTCATGAATCTATATAAAGCATCTGTTGGACCAAAATTAGGGCAACAACAGAGGAGACCTAGAATTCTGCTAAAGGAAGAGAAAAGGCATAAACGATGCCCTAGATACGTTGTGTGATTAAGCTGTAACTGTGTAACATCTACTAACACCCCCAATTTCGGTAAATCATTCTCTAGTTCTCCGTACTTGCTCTATGGAACTACTTTGATTCCTCCATATCATACATCAAAACATGAAAGGTTTTTACAGCTCATACATTTGATCGAGCAATCAATGTTTCTGATATAATTAGGTCGATTTTGATGATAAGTGCATTAAACAGAAGAAGAGAAGAGAGTACCTAGGGTTTGATGAGGAACCGTTTAAGGTCGCTTGAATTGGCCAACTGAATCCAGAAACAGGAACGGTGTAATTAGCATCAGGTACAGCAATATCATCAATCAATCCGTATTCGTAGATCCAATTGGTGTTTTCCGGGGAAACCATTGCCGGAATATAAACAAATTGAAGATTTCCCGATGGAGGTTATGGTGGAAAGGTAGAACACAAATGGGGTTTGGGTGTTATTGTGTAGAGATGGGAGAGAGAAAATGGAGATTTGAAAGGGAATAATTGGTTGATTGGTGGTGTTGCTGTGTTGGGGTTCTTTTAGATTTCATTTTTTTATTCGTCCACTAGATGAGAGTGGTTCAGCGTCATTGAGCAGACTTTGTTTTTATTTTAAAGTATATAAAATGAAGACAAAATTTCAAAAATAATCCCTGTGGTTTTCAAAAATATCAAATTTAGTTCTGAAGTTTAAAAAATCTAACATATGGTCTCTATGGTTTCAAAACTTTTAACAAATGGTCTTTTTTACTAACTCCGTTAGTTTTTGACCGTTAAGCGAAGGACATTTCAATCATTTCACAACCACATGGACCATTTATGAAGTTTTACCTTAATTTTTTTTAAAAAAAAAGAAAAATAAATATAATTATTTAATATTAAAGACCCCACCCTCCCTCTCTCTCCCTCCCTCCCTCCCTCCCTCTCTCGTGCTTACTTCACATGAAAAATAAAAGACGAAGAGGAGGGTTGCCACCCTCCGTTCCAACCACGAACGCAACCTCCACCTCCCTTCTTTTCATTAACCAAGCAACCAACAAACCTTAGTAGATGTCTTGCTTTGTTTTTTTGATGAGAAAACAGTCGGCAAGCCAAGGGGCTTCCACTGCACCACCCATTCCGGCCTCTTTCACCTCCTTTTCATCGACCAAAATAGCCCCCAAACCAATTATCACCTTTCTTGCTTTGTTTTTCTTCCATCGAGACCCAAAACAGCCTCAAAGAGATTTGGATAGTACAACAGGTGTTACTTATAGTATGTAATTAATCATCATCGATTACAGTCTCTGTTTCTTCCATCTAGGCATTTTCACGAACAGTTGATGTGCATAGGTGTTTTCAGTAGATTCATACATTAGAGATGAATTGAGATAGTACAACAGGTGTTACTTATGGTGATATGGTGATATCTACCATCTTGGAGTTAAACAACAGGTATGTAATTAATCATTATCGATTACAATCTCTGTTTCTTCCTTCAGATTTCATTTACATTCATCTGAATCTAATCCACATTTTGAATTCATGAACTCGGGTTATAGGGGATTTTGATAAACAGGCAATTTCCAGGGCCACAAATCGATTCAGTGACTAATGACAACGTGATTGTTAGTATCTACAACAGCTTGGATGAACCATTCCTCATTACCTGATTTGTTCTTCATCAAATATTTTTGAATTTGTTGTTTAAGTGTTCATAATCGATGAAAGAAATGTGAAATCTGATGAAATGATTACTTGTATGGATGATGGATCAGGAACGGGATACAGCAGAGAAGGAATTCATGGCAGGATGGAGTTTATGGCACAAATTGTCCCATTCCACCTAGTCAAAACTTCACCTACATTCTTCAAGTAAAGGATCAAATTGGTAGCTTCTTCTACTTCCCTTCCATTGCTTTTCATCGAGCTGCCGGAGGCTTCGGCGACATCACCGTCTCCAACCGCCCTAGGATTACGGTCCCATTCCCACCACCCGACGGAGATTTCACCATTCTCGCCGGTGACTGGTTCAAGAAAAACCGACGGAGATTTCACCATTCTCGCCGGTGACGAAGATTTCACCATTCTCAGTTATATCAATCATCACCTCCCTTTATTGTAATCAGCTGACCTGAAATTGTTGAGAGAGAGGGGGTGGGGCCTTTAATATTAAATAATTATATTTATTTTTCTTTTTTTAAAAAAAAATTAAGGTAAAACTTCATAAATGATCCATGTGGTTGAGAAATGACTGAAATACCCTTCATTTAATTGTCAAAAGCTAACGGAGTTAGTAAAAAGGATCATTTGTTAAAAGTTTTGAAACCACAGGGACCATCTGTGAGGTTTTTTGAATTTAGAGACTAAACTTGATATTTTTGAAAATCACAAAAACCATTTTTGAAGTTTTGTCTAAAATAAATTTTGCAAAATTATTAAAAAAATCAAAATATATTATGTTGTTTTTTATTTATATATTATTTACAAAATTAACTTTTTAACACTTATTTTAAAAATAATTTTTGCATCAAATAAAGAAATGATTACAATAAGTAATAATGTATTTTTTTATATTGTTATATTTTTAAAATTTTATTTTCTATTAAATCATTATAGTTTGAGCTTTTGGTTTAGTTATAGAAGTATCACTTAAATGCAAATTATTTTTTAAATATTCTTTAAATTTATTATCTTTTAATAGTTTTGGAAGTCATTTGAAAAAAATATGGATTAAATAAATTTTTATAATAATTTTTATTTTTATTTTTAAGGTCTTATTTAACCCCTAAATT